AAAATATAAATGTCGCAATAGTTATACAATTCGACATTCTAATTTTCAAACCAATACATAAAGAAAAAAGTGATACTACATTTGAAAAATAAGAAAAGGGTGTTTGCTCTTTCTTGGATACACATATAATGGAATGAAAATAATTATTAAGGTTCGATTGAAAAGGGGACGGACATTTATTAAAGTCCTTCCAACTTTCATCAAATAGATACGTTGAAAAAAATCATGGATTGAATATAGCCATTTCTTTTAAATAACTCTTTAATTAAATTTAGTGTTTTACAATATTTTTTAGATACAATACAAAGTTAGAACTGAAATCGAAATAATTGTTCAATCAACATATTCTGTATAACCAACGCGAATTGATGTATACTATTTAAAAATTTTTATTTGTAATACAAAGAATTTACTGAAGAGTGGCCCAAAATCATCTAATGACTATTATAGCTATTTTCACAACTCACGGGACAGCCGATAATAACAGAGACTTTTCCGAGAACATTTATAAGGATTTGGAAAAGCCAACCACATTTTTATATGGGTAAATAAATTATGTCGGAACGCTTTGAACGTAGCGATTATGTTTTTTCTATACCGAGTTTTACCGAGTTTTTTTTTATCGATCTGCAAAATGATCGTCCGTCCCGTGACTTTTGGAATTAAGGTCTTATAAGGATAGATAGAAAACCGGTACGGTACGATTCGCCAGGCCAGTACGGTACCGGTTTTCCATATACTCTAGAGTAATAAATAAAAATAAATTTTACAAAATTCATTGCGTACCGTACCGTACTGTTCCTATAATAGGGCTTAGTTATTATAGGACCCGTACGGTACGGTACGATGTAAAATTACTAATCTGCATAATCGTACTGTACTGGTCTGGCGAATCTTACCGTACCGGTTTTCCATATACTCACCAATTATAATGCCGGGGAAGAATTTAAAGAGCGACATTCTTTTTATTTATTTAATGTGCTAATTAGGAATTACACAATGCATTTTTTTTTTGTCCGGTGATTCGCGACCCACATACTTATCTTTGGAAATGATCGGCAGTTTCAAAATCGATCGTACCCAAGTTTTATTAACTTGCATAATATTGAAACTTTATTAATAGGAACAATCGACTTACAAAATGTTTTGGTTATTAATTTCGTTTCCCTTTCAAACACAACTCATTTGGAAGTACTATGGGAAAATTACTTACAAAACCGGATGTAAATAAAACTAAGAAACCACTTAATACGAACAAAACTGATATGGGTGGAGAAAATTTCCATTATGTTGAAGGCAGAAGGTTTCATAATGTGCAAACGTCCAAATATATATTTCCAAATGATGACGA